GCATGGGGTTAACATTTTCTTGATTTTTTTTTTGTTTCTGATGCAAATTATTTTTTAGAAAATGCATTCGTTTCTATAGTTACGTGAAAATTGGGTTAAAATGAGAATTGCAATCGAAATCGAAATCAAAAATGTTGTTACATGTTGAGAAAATCAATGCTGATTGCTTTTTTATCTTTGCAAAATAACCGTTTCTATAGTTACCTGAAAATTGGGTTAGAATTGGTTGCGTTCGAATAAATCAATGGAAAATGAAATGGAAAATAAAAATACATTTTATTTGAAAAGTGCATCTGTTTCTATAGTTACGATTGCATGAAAATTGGGTTAAATTGAGAATTTTGGTTGGAATCGATGAAAAAACGCATTTTCTTCAAAATGTTGATACAAAATTTACGCCCAGAAACCAATTATACCGAGTTTATAATTTTCCTTTGTTTCGATTTTTTTTGGTTCTTCTGCGAATTATTTTTTCTTGGAAATTGCATCCGTTTCTATAGTTACGTGTAAATTGGGTTAAAATGAAAATCGCAATCGCTTGCCTTCGAACTAATCGATGTAAAATAAATTGAAAAAAACCGCATTTTGTTAGAAAATGTTGATACAATATCGTTGAGAAAATCGACTCTGATTGCTTTTTATCTTTGCAAAATAACTCGGAAAATGTACGATCAGAAAGTAATTATATTGAGTTTATAATTTTCTTTCGTTTCGCATTTTTTGTTTCTTTCTGCTGCAAATGAATTTTTTGGTAAATGTATCCGTTTCTATAGTTACGTGAAAATTCGATTAAGATGAGAATTCCAACAGAAATCGGTTGCGTTCGAACGAATCGTTTGAAATGAATTTAAAAAAAAACGCAATTTATTAGAAAATGTTGATAAAATCAACGCTGATTGATTTTTTTTCTTTGTTAAATAACTCTGAAAATTTACGATCAGAAAGCAATTATATCAAGTTTATAATTTTCTTTCGTTTCACATGTTTTTTTTGGTTCTGCTGCAAATTATTTTTTTGGAAAATGCATGCGTTTATATAGTTACGTGAGAATTGGGTTAGAATTGGTTGCGTTCGAATGAATCAATAGAAAATGAAATGAAAAAAATGCATTTTGTTTGAAAATGTTGATACAATATCACACGTTGAACAATCAACGCTTATTTCTTTTGTTTTTCATTGCAAAATAACTCGGAAAATTATATCGAGTATACAATTTTCATTTGTTTCGCAATTACTTATTTTGTTTCTGCTGCAAATGGATCTGTTTCTATAGTTACGTTTACATGAAAATTGGGTTAAATTGAGAATTTCTATTGGAATCGACAAAGAAACGCATTTTTTTTAAAATGTCGATACAAAATTTAAGCTCGGAAACCAATTATACAGAGTTTATAATTTTCTTTTGTTTCGATTTTTTTTTGTTTATTCTGCGAATTATTTTTTCTTGTAAAATCCGTTTCTATAGTTACTTGAAAATTGGAAAAAAATGAGAATTTCAATCGAAGTCGGTTGCGTTCGAAAAAATGAATTGAAAAAAAAACACGTTTTATTCGAAAATGTTGATACAATATCGTTGCGAAAATCAACGCTGATTGCATTTTCTTTTCTTTGTAAAACAACTCGGAAAATTTACGCTCAGAAAGTAATTATATCGAGTTAATAATTTTCTTTCGTTTCGCAATGCTCTACAACTTAGAACAATGGCAAATCGCGTTTCGCCCGAAAACTATTGCGAACAAACTTTGATCATTGTTTCGACATGATTTATAAATATATATCGCGTTCTCTCTGAAAGTTTGAGAAACGCGAATATTGTTGCTTACGTTTTTTTTCCTATTTCTAAAAGTATCCTTTTTATGTTTACTTGCTTTTTGTTTTGAACGAGTCTGATGATTAATGCTCAGGTGTAAAGTAATATCAAGTTCAAATCAAAGTTAGCTTATTTTGGCTGTGACGTGTTTCGTTTCGCTTCTTTTTTTTTTTGTCTCTTCGTCATTGCGTTGGAAATGCTTAGAATTCATTAATCGCTTCCAAAACAAATAGATGCATGTCCAAATTACATTCATTCAAAAGAAAATATCTCTGGTGTTTATGTAACTGGAAAATCGTTGCATTCGAATGGTATTTGATTCATATGCATGTTCGACGAAATGAGCAATTCTGCAATAAGTTTAATAGCTGCGACTAAGTGGACGCAGTATATCATTATAATAGCCTTTCTCTCAAACCCTTTCACCGAGGATCTTTTAATTTTGATCATTTATTTCATACATACAAAAAAAAAATTATTATATGTATCGACGAAAGTCTCGAACATCTGCGTAAGTAAAATTACTTTGTATTAATATGATTAATTTTGAGCGGCGATTTTTTAATATATACTTTTTACAAATTGCTTCTGGTTAAATTGCTTCAAGTCTTCTACTCAGAAGACGTTACAAATTGCTTGAAAATAATAATAATATTTAATGAGTAATTTGAAATGTATGATTAGATAAGTTTTTAAAGACATTAACAATTAATTATGTAATTGTAATATAAATGCATTCAGACAAATCTAACATAAAAATAAACTTTATGAACATATTATGTGCAGTTCTTTTTTTTTTTATAAAAGTAGGTTAATAGATGTTATATAAATAATTAATGTTGGGGTGAAGTTTTGGAGCGGAACGACTAAAAAAAAATATTAATAATTATTTAATGTCGAAGACGACCTAAAAAAATTGTTCCTGAAGTTAGTCACAGGTGAATCATGCGTAATACACACACCTTTAAAAAAAACTGTGCCAGTCATTAAAATCGTCATGAAAATACGAAAATAATAGTAATTTCGAACTTAGTTTCCATTTCAAAAAGATATCAGACGTTTCATAACAGTGGAATCGGAGAGGCGTGCACTTCATTCAGATGTGAATGACTGCATCGTCGTAATGTAATTTTAGCTATAGACACAACGGGTTGACAGTTATGGCAAAACAAATGATTTAATGTCAGTGCCGTTTGGCTGAAAAAGTATCGCTGCATATGTGTTCGCAGACATGTCCAACATCGTCCGACCAGTCGGCCTCCACGTAAATCTTAATTTAGATGGATCAGGTACGTATAAATAACGCTTTCTTCGTTTAAATTTGATATGGTCCAATTGTTGCGTAATGCATTTATTTTTGTAGGATGCGTGGAAAGAACAACGCGTTAGTGAAATAAAAACGTATATAGAATTGTATTTGTTATGTAATACAAAGATGTACATTATTTTAGATTATGATACAAGTACTTGACAAGTAATTAGTCATGTATGACAATATGTCATGTCTTATGTCATAATTTGACATATATTTAATATGTTGACAGGAATGACATGATCATATTAATAATAAACGTATTCTGTAACAAGACAATTTATAAAGATGACGTCTTTTAACAATGTGCTTCATAATTGTAGATTTTAGTAACCGTTGACCAGATTTTCTCTGATATCTGACATATGAATGTCGTTCGGTGTGTCAACAAATTGTAATATTGTTAAATGTTGTTGGTATTCTGATATTTCTTGGATGCGTTGATTTATGGATGCTGAATAGAAGTCAATCGTTCGGACACGTGTATCGATTTTCTGCCAAGAACCTGAACCTGGGTCTACTTTGGTTACGTATATTGATTTGCCTCGATTCCTAATAAACTAGGTTCTCGGTAAAGATCGGGTGATTTCTGTACAGCCCAAGAGGACGCAGGTTGCACGTCGACATTGCAAGTTCTCAAAACATGAATATATAATAATATTTATAAAAATAATGTTACGTTTTAGCGTAATTAGATTTCTCTAACAGCATTATCATAGTTCGCAACAAAGATTAATTGCGTTTTGGTTTGTAACGTTTTTATTTTGCATCACTTGCATTTGCTTTTTGCTGGATATGTCATAAAGATAGGTGAGAGTAAATATGAAGTGTATAATTAATACGAATTGTTATATAATAAGTTTGTATTAGTTGTCAATAATAAAATTTTGTTTTTTTTATTGTGTTTTAACAAAAATAAAATGAGTATGCTGTGCTGGCATGGCTACCAACTGAAGTAACAGTTTGTTGTTTATATGGGCGATAGAAATATTTGTTTCCAAGTACCTGTTCCATTTGAATTGTGCAAGTAAAAGTAATTTGTCAAGTTGCACGTACATCATGTGCGCATTGCGTGGTACAGCTTATGCGCAATCTCATAAAAATGAAATGCGAATAACATTTATTCAAAAGCAATACAAATGTCAAGTTATGCTAGCGTTCATTTGTTTTCATCAGGGTAGTAAAGGTCCTGAAATCTCATCGGAATTCAAAAAATCAAGGCGATAAGCAGTACGTAACTACAAGTTGTTTGTGAAGTTGTTGCAAATAGATGTTATGTGTAATGTTTGGTCATAATCTGAATGTAATTTGTAGGTGAAAATAATGAGCAACATTGATTAAAGTAATACAAATGTCATGTTTGGTCGTCATCACAAATATCATACATGAAGGAGCTGAAGTCGTGTCTTATCAGCAAAAATACAAGGAAGTGGTAATGCCGATAAGTGGAATCAATGGAAAGGCAGCAATTGTTGGAAATGCTAAGCTTTTTGAAACTAAACAAATATGTTTTGTAGTGAGACAATCTATAAATTATAATTCATTATTTGTAAATTTGTAATATTATTCTTTTTAGATCCCAGACATCTGTTGGGCGTTGCCTGGCGATTCAAATAGATTTTGTTGACAAGCTGTAATAGTGGAATCATTTACTGCTGTTGTTATTATTGTTGTTGTTGTTCTGGAACCTTCTGGATGCACCGACTGTTGGCTGCTCAACAGACGACGATCGATTTTCTGCCAAGTACGGGATACCTGGACCTGGGTCTACATTGGAGGCGTATCGATTTGCTACGATTCCCAGCAAACTGGGTGCCCGTCGTAGCACCTAGGATACCCCACGGTGGTTTTCGTGCAGTCCTGGAGGACGAAGGATGCGCGTCGCAGTCGCAAGCTGCGCTTCGCATAGTCCAGATCTCGCGCATTTCCGAACGTTTCGACTGCTTGTAGCGCGCGCGCCAGTCGATATCGCACACGTGCGTGCGCGTTCATCCTGACAGCACAGCCTATAGACCGTCCTCACGACGGCAGAAACCGCGCGATCCTCGTCGCAACTAGTTACGAGAGCGTGCGACCACCGCACAACATAGCAGACAGCGGGACTATTGCATAACCGGGGCAGAAGAGAGACGACGCGATACCAGGACTTGCGATCTGAAGCGAGACAGGAACAGTGACACAACACAAGGGTTGAAGAGTTGAGATTTAGAGGAAGACAGTGATATTTGTATTTATAAGAGTGACAACAATAACGACGACGACGCCGCCGCCACCTGTTATGTAAGGGCGGGAGAGCGGCGACAGCAGCAGAAGGCACATCATCCGATCAACCCCAGGTCTTTCCCGGGCCTGGCTTGCGCAATCGAGCTCAGTCTCCTCCCTCGCGGTGTTCGGGTGTGTGTAATCATCGACGTGCAATAGTCGGGTATTAGGAGTAGCAGGAACAACATCATCATCATCGCAAGTAGCTGCAGCAGCAGGACTAGTATTAATACTATGGATGAGTTAATGGTGGTTGGTGGTGCGGCTCGTCGGAGCGTCGGCAGGACGTCGAGGATGCTGAGGAATGCGAGCGCTCAAGAGAAGGCTGTGGTGGCAGCGACGACTGCGGCTCTCTTTGAGGCTGCTGAAGCTGCGGACGCCGTCTACAGCGGATGCGACCTCTTCAGATGTCCTCTTTGCAGACGGACGCTGTCGACGCCGATGACCGCAGAGTGCGGACACACTTTCTGCGTCCAGTGTCTGGATAACATGGATATGACGTGCACCATCTGTAACGTAGAGTTGGGTTACCTGAGGGCCGCCAACGTTCTCGTCCAGGATGTCGTCTCCAAGTGGAGGGATTTACACAAAGGTAACGAGCGCATGTAAAAATACCACCAGACATGAACACTCTCCTCTCTGTTTACCAACAACACACACACACACACAGTCCGACCACTCAACTCTCCACCAGACCAGACAGACACAAACACACTCTAATCGCATTTTTTAAAAATAACATTCCTTTCCAAAATATACGCACGTCATTTTTTCCTCCCGTCTCGTTTTTGTTTATATTTACACAGTTCTTGCCCCAAAGCGAATGCATTGCAGTATTTGGTAATGAAACAATAATCTGATTAAATATTACAACAAAAACGTCTACAAAGTAATGTACGTCACTCACCAACAACCTCACTTACATCTTTATTGACCTAGGTCATTTATATTCAAGCCTATCCTGAATTTGAATTCTTCACCTTGAACAAATGTCCATTTTTCCAAATTGAAGATGACAATAAAAGACCAATGAATACAATTAAATTTTCTAATGTAGCGCGTCTTGACATCACAGATGTTATGTAACGTAATTTACAAACATGGCCGATGGATGACAGTATCGATTAATGTTTAACAAAAGATGGATTGCAAATCATTTGCACCATACGCCAACACTGGACAAATAGAGATAATGTTTAGAGAAGTAGATATTAACACTACATAATGTAATTTAGAAACATGGAATAATTACGCCAAATATAAAAAAAATAGTTTCCAGCTGTTAAGTTGACAGCTTACAAACGACTAACTTCGTTTGCCAATTTATGACAAATAGAATGAGATTTTCTTAGGTAACAGTTCAAACATCATATTATGTAATATAACTTACAAACATGGCGGAAGGACTAAATTTCCAAACTATACGGTTTGATATTTTCGACTGTTTACAATAGGCCTTTCCCAACTTAGGACAAATTGAATAAGATTTACTTGAGCAAGAATTCTTAATGTCGCATATATGTTATGTAATATCGTTTACAAATGTAGCTGAAATTATTACAATATTCATTAATGTTTCCAATTGGAAAGTTACGTTTGACAAACATTGACAAGTTGGAGCAAATACAATGATATTTTCTAGTGTTACATTTTTTCAACATAATACCTATTATGTAATGAACATCTATTTACCAATCAAGTTAACAATGGCATTTGCTGCTAGTTATCGCTGTTTAGAAATTATAATTAAATATCATGAAGGCTATAAACCAACTTAATAAATGCAGCCTACAATATTGCCTGTTATATCTCCATTGACCTAGATAGTAAATCCATCGTTGCATATGCATAAGAAACGCAACTGCAAAATTTAATGTGTATATTTCAATAAATCAATAGAAATTAGCTGTTATATATTGATCACAAGTTTTTGAGAATTTTTCCATCAGATTCAATACTAAATAAGATTTTTTTTTTGTCAATAATTTTCAATAATTGGACAGAAAAGTAACCTTTGGAAGTTTATTTAAATAAAATGAATTAAAAACTTTGAATACATGATAGAATATGATCTAAATACTTGTAAATAAGTAGATTATATGAATGGTTAATGAATTGATGTAAATTATAAACGTATAAACATGAATAGTACGTATACATTTGTTTATAATGAACGAACGAGTGAATAAGGTGATGTTAATATACAAATTGTAACAATAAATAAATCATCGATGAGGAATGATATTTCATGCCAGTAAAAGTAATGATAATAATTGCAAATTGTGTCTTCAACAAAGAAAACACAAATTAACCAATCATCATTTGATCCTTTGATCTGTTCAATATAACAGTAACATAATGAGCTTTTGATTGGTAATAGCTGAATTATAATTGGAACTGTTCTGCTCCTGTTCAAATGCAATTAGAATTAGAGCTGATTCAATGCTAAACATTAAGGTGCTTAACAACTTATCCTTGACATTGGTCACAAACTGTTCATCAAGTAATTCGAAATTAACTATCATTAACTTTTATAACCCTTAATTTATGTAAACTGTAAATTTACTTGGTGATGCATGTTAAAATATGTCGGTTTCAAAGTGATAATGTAATGTTAATGAGCTAGTTTAGTGTGCTGACTCAAAGAAACTTCATGATTCACCGTTTAAAGTACAAAATCAGTGTAAGAAAGAAAAAAAAAACAATGCGTGCAGCTCAAATTTCGTGAGGTTTTTACTATGTAATTATTTCGGGCAGAAACATTTCGGTCGTCGTCCCTTCTGCATTGTTAAATATAATTGCTAGTTGCGCAACGTCGAAGGAAGCGATTGCTTGTAACCATTGCGTAATTTCGGCTCTAGCTTTCGGGAAACCATGAATACATGTTTCCCCGAAATATGAATGAATACATTCGAGAATTGGCTTCGCTCCAATTTGGCCACCCTTGTGGAAATGATTCAATATTACGAATGATTTCAATTAAATTTCAAGAGATTTTTGTTTATTATATAATTAAGTTCTGAGAATGAAATGAAGTAACTGAAAGAATTTTAACTAACAAGCACGCGAAACGGTTGTGATTACGTAAATATTTCGATTGTTTTCCGTTATTTATTCATCGTAATTTCGATCGGGATTCCAGGAAACGTGCCGTAAGATAAGTGGAATAATGAGAGTATGCTTTGGATCAGGAGATAAGGGGAAATGCAATAAAATAAACAAACGACGCTAGACTGACATTGGAATGTTGCAATATGCAGGAAAGCGAAGATCGATAATCTTCTCAGATAACGGATTTCAATAATGAAAAATCCGATTTAATTACGAGCTTGGTAACTAATTTCAATGACGCGCGTTTCCTCTAAACAAAAAAATCCGTTCTTATCAATCGCGTTTTTCCCAAACGGAAATAAAAATGTAAAAACTTCAAACGCTATTACATTACACCTCCATGCTAAATCGTGCATGAATAATGCAGGAGTAGGGTAATAAATTAAAGTCGCCTGGTAACACGTGAATTACAGTGTAACTAGTTTTTTTTTTCTTCTCTCTATTATGTATATATATATATTTCGATCTCCTGCTCTATCCTACGCACGTGTGTAGTTTTTAATGAATTAGATAACAGTATGTGTTCATTGTTGTTTCGCGACTGGACGATGGTAGGAGTAAGCTCCGCAATAAAATGCAGATTAAACGTAAAGCAAGCGGTCTGTTGCGATGCGGCAAGTCGATGGTGATGCTGCTGCATGCGTCACAGCTTCTCGATAGGAGTTTCCGTAGAAGAATGTCTCTTTGTAATTTCATTGATAAGTATACGCCGGTAGAAAGAACTCTTTGCGTCACATCTGGTCGTTGTGTAATACCGGTTTCCTTAGAGCAGCGGTCTCTGCATCTGCCGGTGTCGAAGGGTTCGTTCATTCGTTCGTTCGTTCGCTGTGCGATTTAGGTCAATTGAAGGAGCGCTGCTCTGTGCAGGCGTTGAAATATCCGCAACGCTCTCGGTCTATTAATTTCACCCGCAATATGTTAATGTTACATCATTGTTGTCTCATAACAGCGACGGACGCAATCCGATTTTTTTTTATTATTTCTTTTTCCTTTCTTCCTTCCTTTCTCTCCTTCTGAACGTCGCGCAAAGCGAAATTTCGAATTGATTGGGTTCAACAAGGAAATTCGATTTCAAACACTGAAAAATGCGAACTTCTCTTACAAAGAAATATACAAATGGAGCAATTATTTTGGAATATCCATTATATAATTGGAATTTAATTATACACTCTTACGTATTCTTTTATAATACAATTATTTTAGACAATAATTGGCCAAAGTAGAATAGTTAAACCCATATTTATAACAATATGTTATTTTCAGATAAAGTTCAAGAAAGTTGTGAAGTTTTTCTTAAAGAACTGCTATTTTCAATAAACTTTTAATCTAATGTTGACATAAAAAACTGACATGAATAACTAGTTCTTGAGACTAGTACTTAAGAAACTAGTCTTAAGATTGATGCATACATTTACATATACAAAGTTCAAGAAAGTTGAGAAACTTTTCTTAAAGAACTGCTATTTTCAATAAACTTTTAATCTAAAGTTGACATAAAAAAACTAAGATGAATAACTAGTTCTTGAGACTAGTAGTTAAGAAACTAGTCTTAAAATTAATGCATACATTTACATATACAAAGTTCAAGAAAGTTGAGAAACTTTTCTTAAAGAACTGCTATTTCCAATACACTTTTAATCTAAATTTGATATAGAAGACTGACACGAATACCTAGTTCTTGAGACAAATGTGTACCACTAACTTGGAAAAGTTTTTTACAAATACAAATGGAGCAAATGGAATATCCATTATATAATTAGAATTTAACTATACAAACTTACGTATTCTTTTATAATACAATTTGTTAGTAAATAATTGGCCAAAAACATTGATTTGAATAAAGTTAGAAATTGAAGTAGGAAATTATTATTTTTTTAGATTATTTAGTTATCTCAACAAGTAGGAGTAATTGGAATCTAAAATTTAATCTAAAAAAAATGTATAATTCAACAAAAATCTTCTGTCTATTACAATGATTGCAATTCGAGTGGTTAATATTGATTTATAATGTCACCTGAAAAATGTACAATTTTCTAGATTGACATTTTTGTTTGAACTTTCGTATCAACCCACTGATATGCGCCGCACGTTCAGCTGTACGTGTGTAATCAGCGTATTGTTTGCGCAACGCGGTTTTGCCCAACGCTCGCAAATCGTTCAATCGGAATAATCATCTGCGCATTTTTTCTTCTCCTGTGTTACATGATTGTATAATTCTATGAATTGTCTCATTCATAATTATAATGTATTTTTTTCTTCATTTAATTGTTTTTTTCTTTTGTGTTTTGTACATTTAGTATTATCAAGAAAATTAGTTCTTGGATTGAACAGATTTATGATTAATATAATTAATTTAAAGTGATTTAAAAAAAAAATTACTGAAACAAAGAATATTATGTAAATTATGCGTGTGTTTTATTAGTTTCATAATGAAAGTAATAAATAAACTATTATTATACATATATACACTATAAAGTATCT